GAGTTTGGTAAGAGCTCATATATAAATAGAAGGATTATGATTTCTCTTTCTCCTTTTCTTAGAGGATAGAGTCGGTATGTTTTACGACAGTATGCAACGGTGTCGCATTGAAAATTTTCCCCACCGACACAGACCTAGTTATTAAAGAAATAAAACTCGATCCCTGAACAAAGACTCCGAGAGGCATTGCATTAAGAAGGTTTCTTGCGCGGTCAAGAAAATATCATAGAAGTGCCACTGCCACTGACAGTAAGTGCCACAGCACAAGTTCCCCACCATTAAAAAAATATATCATTCAGAGGACAAATAATAAAAATTAACTAGATGCATTCGTGTAACGCAGTCTGCATGGAAATCTGTCGTGCAGCACCTCACCTCAGTCGTCGAACAATTTGATCTTCTTTGCCACCGGCGTGCTACTCTCCGCGTCGGCGCCATCGTCATCCTCTACGGCACCGGCACCGGAGCCTCCACTCCTATCTTCTTCCAGATAGATTGGGCAGAACCGATTCCTGTCTCGCAGCCAGGTTTGGAAGAACTTCATGATTTCCTGAAACTCTTTGGCGTCCTCCGACGCCAGATCAAACACCTGACGCCCCAGGAAATTCATCTCCTCGAGCCTCTCGCACTTGGCATCGAGTCGCCGCTGCATCCTTCCCAGCGCGCAGCAGGCCGGTATCTGCGACATTGAAGTGTGGCGCATCACGCAGAAGATGTGCCGGCAGGGGAGGCCGTCGCGCTCCATGTTCCGGCAGCTGCACTTGAGGACATCATCGCCAGAGCGCTCTCCGTCGAAGACCACGCCCCGGCGCTCCTTGAATCCCACGGCGTAGAGCACCTTGCCGGATGCGGCATGGCGGTCTCGCGCCTCAACGAGGACGTCGAAGCTGCCCAGCATCTTGATCTCCTCGCGCAGGAGGTAGAAGTTGGCCGGCGTGAACAGGCTCGCGGCGCGCTCCTCCAGGCGCCGGTGCTCGGTGGTGAGCGCCAGACGGGACATGGCGGCCTGGTGGTCGAGCGCGGCAACGTCCCCGCGCAAGGCGTGGGTGCAGGCGTCGGCGTGTCGCCACAGGTCGGTTAGCGACATGCCCTCGTGGAGGCCCGTGTGAAGCGCCGTGGCGAGGCACTCGGTCCTCTGGTCGTTCGCCATGCCGAGGAAGAACTTGCCGTGGACGAAGGCGGCAGCCCACATCTCCCTCTTGCCGTACATGGCGTCCAGCCAGCGCTGGTTCGCGGCCGTCCGGTGCTTCGCCATGAAGCCGTACCACCGGTCCTGGAACGCCGCCGGGGAGCACGCGTCGTCGCACATCAGGGCCCTGAACTCGTTCTGCGCCGCCGACGAGCCGCGGAGGTGCTCCTCGATGCCCTGCTCCACGTGCCACGAGCAGAAGCGGTCGTTGGCCCCCGAGAACACCGTCTTGACGGCTCCGGCCACCGCGTCGCTGTCGTCAGTGATCACGGACGCGGGCCCGTCTCGGCGGATCGACTGCTTGAAGGCGCGCAGCAGCCAGACGAGGGAATCGAGGGACTGATCCGTGGTGACGCCGCAGCTGAGGACGATGGGCGTGCGGTGGGGGCCCAGACCGACGAAGGGCACGAACGGCACGCCGTGCTTGTTCGTCCGGCACGTGGTGTCGAACACGACGACGTCGCCATCGCCCATCATGACGTCGATGACGGAGTCGGTGTCGGCCCAGAAGAGATTCTTCAGGCGTCGCTCGCCGTCCAACTCGTAGTGGTAGAAGTACTCGCAGTTGTAGTCGGTTTTGGTTTTCCTGCCGCAAAGCTCCCACTCCACCGGCGTCGACGACTTCATTGACCTCTTCCCCAAACGTCGCTACCCGTGCGTAGACTTTACCGACGAACGAGATGGCGGCTTCTGGACCATCTCCCTCTGCGGTGTCAGGTTCGACACATTCTTCTTCTATTCCTCTCTGTCTCTCTACTCTCGATATCGCATTCACAGTAAAGAGAACCCGCTAGACCTAACCCTAGATGATCTTTTCGATCTCAACATGGATAAGTTTCTCTGCCAATCTTTCAGTGCCTTTCTTAGATTCTTGAACTTAGCAGTTAAGTTCTTAGCACAATCAGACTGAGTGGTGGGGGCATCCCAAACCTGAGAAAGAATGTTTCCAAAGTTATCATGTTTCAGCCTGTAATTTTCAAATCTAAAGATACCACCTTTAGGGATGTGACTAGAAATATTGACAATGCAGGGACAGTGGTCAGAGGAAGTCATATCAAGGGCTGTGAGGGAAGTATCAGGATAGGAAAGCAGCCAAGAGTTAGAAGTTAAGGTCCAGTCAAGCTTTTCTAGAAGAGGTGAGGCCTGCTTGTTAGACCAGGTAAATTTTCTCCCCTGAAGAGGAACTTCATTAAGCCCCAGAGCACTAATGACTTCATTAAAAAGCATCATTTCCATTGAATTCCCTCCTTTCTTATTCCTATTTCCAGGCCTTCTGATTAAGTTAAAATCACCAAGGACTAGCCAGTCAACTTCTTCAGGCATTTGAATCTGCTTAAACCATTCAAGGAAGGCAATTTTTCCTTCTGACTGACAAGGAGCATATATGTTTGTCAAGACCCCGGAACTGTTGTCATGTTGGGAAAAAAATTCCACCGAGATAGCGTAATCATTGTGAAAAATTTGCTACCCCTGAAGAGAGAACTTTTCCAAGCCACCAATAGTCCCCCTGATGCACCCACAGAAGGTAGAAACTCAAAACTGTCAAACCAGGGTGGGCAGACATTTTTTTATAAAAGCCAGATCTCGAACCTCCTTTTTTGTTTCCTGGAAACAAACCACGTCACAAGCTGAATCAAACACTTTATCCTTGATGGTATTCCATTTGGAGGGAGAATTAATCCCTCTCACATTCCAACTCAACACTTTCCACACTCTGGAGAAATTCTGATTCATTTAAACTAAAAAAAATGTTCTGACATTAAGGGCATCAGTTAACTGAACCCTACAAGCTAACTGTTTAGCAAATTTAATAACCAACATTACATCCAACCAAAAGCATGCCTCTGATACAATCAGGCATTCCTCCCATATCACAGCTAGGGGTATCATCCTTAACATCTTGTTTTCAAGGTGAACCATTACAAAATAAGTGCTAAACAGACAAAATATCCTGCAGTCACTATGCAGCACCATCTTCACTCGTTCATCTGATCCTGACTTGGAACCTGAGATCCACCTTCCTCTGGCTCCTGAGCCTGGTCCTTATTTGGTGCCTTTTTACTCTTTCTGGCTGCAATGGGACTCGCCTGTCTTCTCTTCTTCAGCAGAGCTTCCTCAGTGACATCCTCCGTTCAATTTGCAAAATTCAGAACCCAAAAGTTGCAGTGTCTTAATAGGAATGGTGGGAGGGTCAGGATGACAAGCAAGACACTTTTTACTCGAGCAGGAATTAACCTTGAACCCTCTGCTTACCTCCCTATACACGCGCGTATCGATTGGCTAAGAGCATCTCCAAAAGTTACAAAAAATTCTTTCCAAAATCATGTAGTTTTCCAAATCGCTAAAAAATATTGGGAGAAATAAATATGATCATCTTCAACAATTTTAAATAATTCACTCATAAAATATAAAAGACAATTTTATATCAGCAAATCCTATATTATTTCAAAATTATCCTAACCACTTTTATATATTCTTTATCTCTTATACATTTGCATCAAAAACCCTTTCCTACTCTTTATTTTTTCCAACCCCTCCACCTTAGATTGGCAGATCGATACACACATGGAAAACACGCGGATATATCCGTGAGTTTGATGATTTTTTCCAAGTGCCAAAAAATTGGGAGGTGGGATTGGGAACTCTTGGAGATGAGTTTTTTTCTATTTTTTTTATCAAAAATACTAGATTATGAGGCTTTATTGGGAATTTTTGGACATGCTCTAATCTGGGGGTGGAAGGACGTGAAAAAAAAAGAAATAAGATAGAGTTCCTAATGCAAGTATAAAAGACGAATAAAAATGGTTATGAGATTTAGAAATAGTCTGGGCTTCCTCACGTAATTGTCTTCTCTAGTCGTGATTGAATTTCTACGCAACCACGTGGTAAGAGTATCTCCAAGAGACTTTCTAAATCTCAACCTCTAAATCATTATTTGGAGAGCTATTTGTATAAAAATCGCATTCTGTCTCTTTTTGTTCTTGAACAGTTCTTCTATATCTCTTGCGTACTCTAAAAAGTCATTCTCGTCTTCTATTTTTGGCTAGCGAAAAATCCGAAAAAGAAGATGACTATATTTGGATAACCACTTAGAGAAACTATTAGAGAGTTGTTTTTCACCAAAATCTCTACTCCTAGCATTTAGAAAGGATACGAAGAGTCTCTTAAAAATTCTAAGATCTGTTTTTCTTTATCAGTGAGCCAACCAGACATAAGGCAAGGTCACCTCACTGTCACCTGCACCATAAGGACGATTTCACCGACGCGCATGTGTGTAATGTAGCCGCTGTCGCCTTCCGCGGCGGAACGACCCGTGCTTATTTAGGTCGCCGCGCCGCCCACCAACCCCGCTCCCGCCGGAGGACGTAACGGCCCCCTCGTTCCCGACCTTCGACTGAAACTTGCTATCGGGAATGGAATGAAGTTCCTAGTAGTAGTAGGTGTCCCGTCGGTGTCACAACGTACGTGCATGCTTCACGGCCTTTCCTGCAAATATCATTTCGTACTATTTCTGCATAATCACGCGGCACGATCATCTTCCTTACGTACATAATTATAGTAAAGTGGGCGTGGGCGGTGGCCGGTGGGCACCACAGTCCACAGTAATGCAAATCCACGTCACCATCACCTGCAAATCCAAGTCCAATTCCAAGCACACGCAATGCGCAAGTACGTACTCCTACCTGCAGAGTCCCATTTGTGATTTGCCGCCACAAGCTGACCGCTGCCGTCTCTCACGCTGGAAGCGAGCCGCGGGCGTGCTCACCAGCAACACCGCAACAGCAAGCGCAAGCGTCTCATCCATCCATCCATGGACCCGCGGAGCGGCTTCTCCCCGAGCACGAGGACGTTCCGCAGCCTGCGCCCACCGATCCCGCTCCCACCGGAGGACGACGACGTACCCGTCTCCTTCCCGTCCTTCGCCTGGTCGCGCCTCCCGTCGCCGCTCCCCGCGCACCCAGCCTTCGTCGACGCGTCCACGGGCACCGCGCTCTCGTTCCCGGCGCTCCTCGCCCGCGTCCGCTCCCTCGCCGCCGCGCTGCACGGCGCGCCGCTCGGCGTCGCCCTCGCCAAGGGCGACGTCGCGCTCGTGCTCGCGCCGCCCAGCCTGGACGTCCCCGTGCTGTACCTCGCGCTGCTGTCCCTCGGCGCCGTCGTCTCGCCGCTCAGCCCGGTATCCGCGCCCGCCGACGTCGCCCGCGCGGTAGCCCTGTGCGACCCGTCCGTCGTCTTCGCCACCGGAGCAACCGTCGGCAAAGTCCCTGCGTCAGGGAAGAAAAAGGCATCCGTCATCCTGCTGGACTCGCCACAGTTCCAGTCCTTCCTCCACGGCCACGACGAACCGGGGTTCGCCGCAGGCGTGCCGCCACCCCCGGTCGAGGTGGTGCGGCAGTCCGACGTGGCGGCGATCGGCTACTCGTCGGGCACGACAGGGCGAACCAAGGCGGTGGCGCAGTCGCACCGCCGCCTCATCGCGTCGGCGCTGCAGTACCGCTCGCCACCGCCGCGGCGGACGCCCGGAGGCCCCACGGTCGTCACGCTCCTCGGCGTGCCCATGTTCCACTCGTACGGCTTCCACATGCTCATGCGCGGGGTGCTGATGGCCGAGACCATTGTCGTGGTCACCGCCACCCGCGGCGGCGCGGCAGCCGTGCTGGACGCCGCCTCGAGGTGCAGGGCCACGCAGATGTTCGTCGCGCCGCCTGTCGTGGCGGCCATAGCGCGGGGAGGCAGCATCGGACCGGAGGGGTTCCCGGACCTTGTTCGGATCGTCTGTGGCGGTGCGCCGCTGAGCACCGCCGCGGCGTCGGCGTTCCATGAAAGGTTTCCCGACATCGAGCTGTTTTTGGTAAGTAGTCCTCATCATCTCTGCCAATGCCATTAATTTTATGAATTAGAGGTCCGCGTCAGTAGGGCAACTTGCATCTTCGTTTCGTTCCATCAACATCAATCACACCGCACGAGGATCTCGTGGCCGGCTTTTACGATTTTCAGTTATGTTGGCGGGCGCAGGACAGCAACATTTTACACGTGCCCACAGACCACCGTGAATCTGTGTCACTGTTTCACTTGTTTGGTTCTCGAGCAAAATATAGCCATAATACTCATACTCCTGTATCTTTGATGGGTTTATTTACGGACTACAGGCACTAGGATCAACTGAGGGTGGCGTGATATCAAACATGGTCTGTCGTGAGGAATGTGATCGTATAAAATCAACAGGTCGGCTATGTAGCGGTGTTGAAGCCAAAGTTGTTGACATTATTAGTGGTGAACTCTTATCAACCAACAAGCAAGGCGAATTATGTATCCGAGGCCCAAGTGTCATGCTAGGTACCATATCAGAACTTAATTACCTATATGTCCAATAATTTTCTATTATAAAGACGTAAGAAGAAGATTCCACGATACAACATCATTTTCCAAGTCCAATCAAGAGTTAATAAATAAAATACAACTAAATGGCACCCCGATCATTGTAAGATTGAAAATTCGCTAAAGAAATTGCAGGAATATAAAATAATAATTGGATGTTGTGTTTATCTCATAAAAACTTATTTAATATCATTCATAAAAATATAAAAATAACAATTTTCTTGTTGTATTTATCTCATGACAGTCTACCAACCCATGCTCCTACATTGGTTTGAATCTTATTAGTAGATGAGTATGACGTTCATGTTTAGTACCTACAATAATAAATCAACAGTACTTAACTATTTGCGCACACGCACTTTGATATGTGTTATTTTCTAATGTAATACCACTATATACTCTATGTAATCTCTAATAGTTGTATGATCCTATCAATTACTCTATTATTTTTCCCATATGTTTCTCCCTCTACATTGCCCTCAAGGTGTTTACAATTGAAAGCCGAGTTTAAATTTTGGTGGTTCTTATTGTATCCCATATCTTGTTAGGCTATGGATCTAGATTTTCAATTTTAAACATTCATCTCACATGTTAGTTGAAACTTTTGTATTTATTATACCTTTTATTTAAACCCTCCTTCTGTATTTTATTAAAAATAGGGATTTTAGGTCTTAGACTGCACTCTTAATTGTTATGATGGTACGTCGCTTAAGATTGTCATTGGAGTAGTATTTTCAGAGAAAAAAATTGAGTGACTTCAATTATATTATCAATATAAATAAGTCATATTTATTCAGAATATATAAGTTTACCTAATTCAACATATACATGTATATTCATTGCTCATGCATGCATGCATGGTGGTAATAACATATATGTTCAATAAATTTTTTATGCATACATTGTTTTCAGAATAACAGATGTTGGTGATTTGGTTTTAAATTTGAAAGGAGTATTTCAGTTTAATTTTAACAATAATGATGAATTAGGGGATTTGGATGTGAATTTAAGGGGTTACTTAGATTATATATATCATAATAGTGGCAGAGTAATTTGGATTTTAGATGAAATGTCGGTGTTAGTTTATATCATGATTTATAATGACAGTGTTAGATAATTTAGATGCATATTTATGGGGCTCGCATTATGTTATTTGTCATAATTGTAGAGGTGGATGATTTTTAAGAAAACAAAATAGATCCAATAGCTATTATTATCAATGGTGACTAAATTCTACTAAATTGATAGATAGATCTTTCTTATTTTTGTGAGCATTTCTAACAATTATCTTTGTTCTAACAAGTCTCATAAGTAATGTGAAGGTTTCATTGGAAGTCTCGAAGTAGTAACAATAAGATAAAGTAATCACGTTCATGCATTTCCTCAATCATTCTAAATGCTAACAATGTTTGTTTGATCATCACACAACATTATTGAGTGATCAAAAGAAAAATACACTTAATTTAAGATATAATTTAGTTGATACAATATCATATTTGCTTAGTGGTCCAATATAACATAGTACACATAAACAAAAATTACAAAGGCAAATTTCAACATAGAGAAAATAGTAGCATAGGACAAAAATTTTACTGTTAGATTATTTGGCAATTGATGCACTTCATAGCAAACAATAACAATCCTCAAAGTAATTTAAAATATAGTAGTAAATAATATAAATCAATAATTTTTTTGTTACAAGTCTCAAAGTCATGAATGGTTGCCACTTTTAGCTCCATGAAAATGTATTGTTTACGAATCATAGGATATGTTGGTGGTGATGAAACAAGCAATCAAGCATTTGACTCTGATGGCTGGCTTAAAACTGGTGACCTCTGCTATTTTGATGAGGATGGCTTCCTTTACGTTGTTGATAGACTAAAAGATATAATTAAGTACAAGGCATATCAGGTATTTGACCTGTTTAGCTTTTAGTGACTTATTAGTTTCACTCCTACATCCATTAGCAAATTTCATGCCTTAACATGCAATCCTTTTATTTGACACATAGGTTGCACCAACGGAGTTGGAGGATGTGCTGCATTTGATCCCTGGGATATTGGATGCTGCAGTTATCTCGTATGTTTTCTTGAAAATGGATAAGAAAAAGATCTATATATTGTTTATTTCGATGAAACATTGTTTCAACAATGTTTGAATTGCATAGTATCCTAATAAGCATATAATATTTTGGCATTTTCTTAAAAACTTATAAAATCGTTAACCACTAATAATTATTATGGCAACAAAAAATATCAAATTAGAACTCTTACATATAGAACTATTTATACTATTCCATACTGATAAGTTGTACACCTTTTTTCTAATATATCAATTTTAATTGCAACAAAACATTTATGTAATAGTTTGGCATAATTTCAATATATAAATATAATCAATTATATCAAGATCTCCATGTATTGAAAATGTATTTACTACTTCCTCCAATCACAAGATAAATCAATATAGATTTGTCCTAAATTAAACTTTTGCATCTTTGACTGGCAAGTATACATAAAATATATATTGGCTTAGATGAAAAGAAATTCTCCCCTCCATCTCTAAAGTAAATCGTGCTTTTCAAGGAGTCAATCAATCTCAAGTTTGACTAGGTTTATAGAAAATAGTATCAACATTTGTATCTCTAGATAGGTTTATTATAAAAAATATTCCATGATAAATCTAATAATACTTATTACATATGCATCATAAATATTAGTGTTTTTTATATTTTTTAGTCAAACTTATGATTGATTTACTACTCTAATTCCTTTTTGGGATGGGGGAGTATATATTATATGAAAATATTTTATAGTGAATTTAATAATGTTAACCTCATGTTGTCAATCCACATAAAAATTATATTAATGGCACCAAGTTGACAATGTTTGACTATCAGGAGTTAGGACAAACCTATATCGTTATGATTGGAAGTATACAAGTAGCGCGAACTCCAAATGTTTGTTGTCCAAGAATCACAATTGGTTCTTCCCAACATCTCATGTTTACGAGATTCAAATCCATTCGATATTTTTTTATATAGATACCCAGATGAAGAAGTAGGACAATTACCAATGGCATTTGTTGTAAGGCAAAATGGGAGCAATAATCTTACAGAAGACCAAATAATGGAATTCGTTGCCAAACAGGTACACACTACACTGGTGGCCTACCAACGTCCTACTTAATTTCTTGATTACACTTTGCATTGCACTAACTATCAGCTTACATACAATTTTTATATATGTACATATATGCTAATTAAATCAACTTTCATTAGGTTGCCCCTTACAAGAAGATACGTAAAGTTTGTTTTGTTGATTCAATACCACGGTTGCCATCAGGCAAGTTACTAAGGCGCGAGCTGCATAAACACATGACGCTTACCAGCAGGTTGTAACACATCATCCACCACTGGAGTCTTCATGGACATATATTGGACGAAAAGATCATATGATACAATATCGAAACGAATATTTTCATCTCAAACTATCATCATCATCTATAGTATGTCGGGGCTCAAGAACTACAACAGAGATGTTCGGTGAAATCAATGGATATGATCTTGATTGATATCAATCTTAACAGTGACTCATGCCCTTGTAGATGTCTGGGATGGGATACTTGTAGTACAAGCCTACAAGGATCAAATGCATGCACCTTGTAGATGTCTTTGGCTACAGCTTCGCTTGCTTGGGCTCCGAACGTGAAGCCATCAAGCGAAGCCTTGTCGATAGTGAAGATATTTTAAAAACTTGGAAACTAGAAACCCTCACTCGGTCGTCCGCGCCAGGCACGCCCTCACTGGCTATGCTCTTGCCTGCCGCCAGGAAGGGGAGCGGCTTGGGCCACCGGGCCCTCGCTCAATGGTCGTTGAGAGAGAGAGAGAGAGAGGGGTGGGGGGTGAGAGAGGTGGCGATGTTGCGTCTGTTCAGGGGGAGAGGGGGAGGGAGTCAAACTAGTGGGCTAGGGTTTATAGCCGAGTTACATACTTGGGCCGGCTTTCACCGCCGGCTTGTGGCTTGAATCGGCTGTGAAAATATCATAGAGGAAGATCGCAGCGTTACATTGGACATCTTGATTAAGTGCAAGTTCATTCGAGAGTGATGTCTACTTGTGAGTTGTGACATATAGGAGCTTTCTATGCAAAGATAATGCATGGTGGACCATCAATTCTATCTATGAACACAAGGACAAGCCTATGTTTAATGTTTAATAACGAAAGGAGAGCCCATCACATCAGGTGATATGGAGCTTTTGATACTCGGAGTACCTGCGCACGGGCCAATTTATTTGCCTAATCTAACGACGCATGCAAACTCTATCTCAAAATCCTCCTTTCCATGCTTGCCAGATATGAAAAAAATGTACCGTAGTAATTCATATTCTGTCGTTGCTGCCTGCGGCGCGCGAGAAGTTTTACTTCAAAATGCAGGGACTGCCCTGCAGTCTGCATCGCGGTGGCATGGCATGTGGTTTGCCACATGCAGAGTGAACTGTCACTAGCATTTCGAGGCGGACGCAGCAGGTCCCAGGCAAGCCCATGCATTAACGGAGGCGCCCTTGAGTGCACCCAACTCTACCCGACCCGTCTCTAAAACCGGAGCCGTGCGCTCATCCGATCCCGAGAACCTACATCGATCTCCCCACGGCCACCGACCGGCCATCATCATCATCACCAGATCATGGCCCAGCTGCTGCCGCGCCGTTGCCTGCTTCTGTTGCTGCTCGCGGTGCACGCCGCCGCGGCCTCCGCAGCGCTGCAGCTCCACTTCTACGCGCGGTCGTGCCCCCGCGCCGAGGCCATCGTCCGCCGCGCCGTCCGCCGCCGCGCCGCGCACGACCGCTCCGTGCTCCCCGCGCTTATCCGCCTGCATTTCCACGACTGCTTCGTCAGGGTACGTCTGTTGCACTGCTGCACGTCCACATTTTCGTCGTCGCCTCGATCTGATTCTGATGGCCTTGTGTCCTACACCACCACCACCACCACGACCAGGGATGCGATGGCTCCGTGCTCATCGACAGCACGCCAGGCCACCCGGCCGAGAAGGATGCCCCGCCGAACCTGACGCTGCGGATGCTGGACGTGATCGACGACGCCAAGGCGGCGGTCGAGAAGTCGTGCCCGGGCGTCGTGTCGTGCGCCGACATCGTCGCGTTGGCCGCCAGGGACGCCGCGGCGATGGCGGGGAAGGTGCGGTACGAGCTGCCCACGGGGAGGAGGGACGGCACCGCGTCCAGCGCCGCTGAGGTGAACCTGCCCAGCCCCTCCGCGTCGTTCGCCGAGGCGCTGTCGGCGTTCCGCTCCGTAGGCCTCGGCGTGCTCGACCTCACCACCTTGCTCGGTTCTCACACCATGGGGTTCTGCCACTGCGGGCTCATCATGAGCAGGCTCTACAGCTACAACCGCACCTGCGAGTCCGACCCGGCTATGGACCCCGGCCTGCTGGCCGTGCTCCGGCGCCGGTGCCCACCGCACACGGTGACGACGCCGCAGAACGAGTCGCGCGACGCGGTCGTGCCCATGAACTTCGTCGCGCCGCTCGGCCCGTTCGGCCTCGACAACGCGTTTTACCCGAGCGTGCTCGCCGGGAGAGCCGTGCTGCAGATCGACCAGGAGCTCGCGTCCTCGGCCATCCCACGCAGGATCGCGGCCATGTTCGCCACGCGGCCGGGGAACTTCCGGAGGCAGTTCGCGAGGTCCATGGTTAAGCTCGGGTGCGTCAACGTTCTCACGGGGAGGCAAGGGGAGGTCAGGCTCAACTGTCGAAGGTTTAACAGCTGAGGTGATGGATCAGAAGTTCAGTGTCAATGCAAAGAGTAGATAGTAAACTGTTGTTTTATATGAAAAGATAGTAAACTGTTTTTCGTTGTTCTCTGCACTCTCCGTCCAAAAAAAACGTTTTAGCTATGAATCTGGACAATTTGTGCGGATTTATAGCTAAAACGTCGTACTTTTTAGGACGGATGGAGTATTCATATAGCCACACATGCAACGGAGTGTTCCTCTGCTTGTGTTGAACAATAACCTGCAGAGTTAAACCGTGTGCAGGATGATACTGTTTTGGGAGAAGAGTAATTAAGTAACGAATTCATGATTTTTATGCGATCTACTTGTGAGACATGAGGTAATTATTTTCAGACGCTTTTTATTTTATATTTTCTTAGTTAACGTAACGAATAAGTAAAGCACGATGAAACTTTTCAATTTTGTTTTTCCTATTTTTAAGTGAAGCAACAGATGTATCTCTAGTTTTCACAAATTGAACAATTATAATATTTGTTTTGCCTTGTCAACGTAATTTTTGCATGTAAAAACTTATCTTTGACACGAAAATGAATGATCACAATGATATAACAAGGTAATTGTAAACTGATCCAAAACATCACGTGGGTAATGGGCTTACTGGGCCATGTCATGATCGAAGGATCAGAGCCATTTGAAGCCCAATTTACATTTCTTTTTTGTTTTTTCTTATCCATTTTCCCAAGACATATATAAGGAAATCTTCCACCAGCACACAGATGCAATTAATACTTTTCATATCTGCCAGTAAAGATTATTTTTACCATAAAGACTTGTTTAACCACTGGATTTTGATGCAACTCTTCTTTTTAAGGAAAAAAGTCTAAATTATTTCTTCCAAATTTGGCCTATGTCTAAATAACCCCCAACTAGCATTTGGTTCAATTGACTACCCCCAACTTTCAGTCAAATCAATTTGCTCCTTAACAAGCTTTGTTTTTTTTTTTTTTTTTCCATATACAAGTTGAGTTTAATTTCAAAATTTATGAGACAATAATGGATGCTGCAACTTATTTTAAAAAACATTATGAATTTTCATCATTATCTCTCATACAATTTCGTATTTTAATTTTAATTTTAATTTATTATTAAATGTTCTAACCAATCAAAACACCGATAAAATTTTTTATGTATTTTTTGACATAAATTATTGTATCACATCACAAAATTGAAATTAAAAATCAACTTGAACATGGAGAAACAAAACAAACGAATCTACAATAGTTCTTCCCTGGCATTCTTCCGCATTAGTTTGCCATCGACCAACACATAGGCCATGTTCGCTTGTTTTATAATCCGTACTTTTTAGCTTGTTTTTTCAGTTGGAACAGTGTTTTTTCTCACAAAAAATAAGCCAAAACGGTGTTTCGGCTTATTTTTTCAGCGAAGCGAATGGGGCCATAGTGCTTGCGATGACGAATGAGTTGTTCCATCTCTGTCTTATTGCTCGGAACCTCAACCGAGGTGAGATATTTGATGAATTGTTCTCTCCAATCAGGGATAGGAGCAGGTATCGCCATGACTAGCTGCTCGATGGATGGAGTCTCATCGAGTGGCTGCTCTTCCTTGATGGATGGGGTCATGAGGTCTTGAACGAAAACTCCTGCCAGAACTTTGGCCCTAGAGGACCCCAGCTTAGATAGGCGATCGGCCGCTTGATTAGCGTCTCGGGGAATGTGGTGGTAGTTGATGCCATAAAATTTCCCTTCGAGTTTCCTAATCTCTGCTCAATAAGCGTCCATCTTCTTACTGGTGCAAGACCAATCTTTGTTGACCTGGTTAATGACCAGGGCAGAGTCACCATATACCATGAGACCCTTGATGCTGAGCTCAGCGGCGATGCGGAGACCGTGGAGACATGTTTCGTATTCGGCAGCATTGTTGGAGGCCAAAAAATGAATCCGGAGTACGTAGCGGAGCTCGTCCTTGGAGGGAGTAACAAATAGTATGCCTGCCTAGGCACCTTCAATGTTGAGAGCACCATCGAAGTACATCTTCCAATGCTCGGGGCGATCGACCGGGATAGTCTCTTGGATCTTGGTCTATTCGGCGATGAAATCAGCCAAAACTTGCGACTTAACGGTTGGTTGGCTCCTAAACTCGATGGAGTACGTGTCGAGCTCAACCGCCCACTTGATGATGTGGCCATTGGCTTCTTTGTTGCAGAGGATATCACTGAGTGGGAATTCAGAGACCACGACGATCCTGTAAAACTCGAAGTAATGGCGGAGCTTGCAGGATGTAATCAGGACCGCGTACAATAGCTTCTGAACCTAAGGATATCGAGTCTTGGACTCATTGAGGACCTCACTGATGAAGTAGACTGGTCGCTGGACCTTGTACGTATGGCTAACCTCCTCGCGCTCAATGATAATAGCCATACTAACAACCCGGGGAGTTGCGGCGATGTAGATCAATAAAGTCTTGCCGGATTGTGGGGCATCCCGTAAGCTTCTGGACATCTTTTACGCATGTCGGCCGCTTCATTCGGGTGACGGCCGAGACTTTTTTGGGGTTTGCCTCAATGCCTATAGTGCTGATGATGTAGCCTAGGAGGATATCGGATGGAACATCGAACATACACTTGGTGGGAT